ACTCTTTCTATAAAATTGAAAATTAGCATTAGCATTACTAATGATGGATAATTGATAATAACTAAGTGTTAATGTCCATTTAATAGAATCTTTAAATACTTAGAATCTTAAATATATATTTTTAATGATAAGGGGATTTTTTTTAAACTAATATCTGCATGTATTGAATCCCTCTCTGATAAAATCTTAAATATGTGGGATTTTGTCCTGATATATTATAAGAAATTATTTTCTTCCACTATAGGATATTATTGTATAAATTGAGCAAAAAGACTAATCCATCTTTCTTATGGATAAAACAGCAATTAATCATACTAGAGCAAGAAATTCATGAGAATTATAGTTATTATAATTAAATTTATTAGCCAGACCTATAAATAAATAAATAAGAGGGAACTTTGAGCCAGAAGCTCCATTCCAAACGAAAGTTTTGAGGATCATAGAGAACCATTTTCAAACAGGCGAAATAGAAGAACATGTGAACTAAGAGGAAGCCTCGCTTACAAGTTTTTATTCAATGCACAAGAGTAAAGCACATTTCTGTACGTTTTGGATGGAATGTAGGATGTAGCTAACAATCAAACACAAGTTTTACATTTGCAAATGAAATAATGGCCTCTTCGAGACTCTGGTCGCTGAAGGATCCATCTGGTGTCATTAGACGGTTGCTTCAATGCATCGAGCAGCTGATCCCATCACATACTCAAGCCTCCACCATGGATTTGAAAAATCAAAGAATGTCAATCCCAGCTATTAAACATTTTATGCTTCAATCTGTTAATCACCTCATGAGAAAAGGAAAACAGATCCCCATTCTCAGGACTGCAAATGATGATCAAGTGTATAGGCATGGGTATCAGAAGGGCTCGAGCCAGGCCTGCAAAGAAGTAAGCTTAACAAGCATGATCGTGCTTAAATAAATAATAATTATCAAGTAAGCTTAACAACCAAGAATTCTACAAAGAAAGAACAAACACCATCTAAGAATATTAACAACACTGAAGAATAAGGAACGCTATGGAAAAGAACTTAATAGAACCAACACATTGTAAATTCCACCTCGCAAAAGCCACATTCAATTATGAGGGGCCAGAAAAGGTGTAGTGAACTAGTAATATGAATTAAAGCAAACTGAAAAGAAAAGGACACTACTCTCGCTAACTCATTTTGCAAGGAAAAAAAAGGTTGTTCACGTGAAAAATCAGCCTTGTTCCCCAGCTAAAGATTGGCGGGCAAATTTTGTCATGTCAGCAGAAAGAATAATCAAAAGATTTATGCAGAAAGAAAGAAAGGGCGTCTGTTCGTCTGTTATTCACGAATAATCAAACTCAGACTCATTCCCCAGCTAAGAACTCAGCCTTGTTCTGTTATTCAACTTTCATAAAAATTAGAAAAATGGGAGTACTGACAGCACCTAAAAGTGCCTACCTGCCTCCAATACCACCAAAACCATCATAATAATCCACAACAAACACCTCTGAAACTTAAATCAACACTGTTTTATCAAATCATTGTTGCCTTCTGCAATAGCATTTACAACAGAGCACAACAGCATAAAATAAGTCAAGCAGCACATGTGGTTCAGACAATGGACAATCCCCACCCCCCAGGCATAACCCATGGCTGTCTGGCTTTGAAATTAGAATCCTTTTTCACAGTTCACTTAAGCTTCTGATGCAAAAATGCATCATAAAGTACCTCTTGTTAATCGTGCCATAGTGAAATTTCCGGCTTCCAGCTTTAACATCTTCAATGTACTGCACCAATAGGAAATTAGATATACAAGCGACAAAAGCAAGTGCATGAAAAAACTGTGTTGCTAAAACAGGCTCTTACCAACTTTAAAGTAACCAACATTGATGAAAATGCCAAGGAATCCAAAGGTATATCATCAAGTGAAAAAAGCCGGCACTCCAATGACTCTGGACCAGGTGAAAAGTGGGGCTTCTTCAACTTTGCCAAGAAAATTATGTAAGTCTGCTCCAAATGACAATGACGACAACAAACTTAGAAACCTTAAGCAAGGTCATAGAAAAATCAATATGACAAATAAGGGGCATCTCTCTCTTACTTGGCCAATACGAGGGATGTCCAATTGAGCAAAAGGTGACACAACTTCCACTTCTGCGCGTGCTTCCTCCCAGGTTTCCCTGATTGCCCCTTCTGCAGCAGACTCACCAATTTCCACGTAACCAGCTGGAAGGGTCCTATTTCAGCACAATCCAATTATCTGGATTACCCATTATGGATAACAGAAGTATAGAAGCTAGTTAAAATGCAAAGCAGAAAGGACCAAGAAACATATGGAGTAAATTCTTTTTTTTTCTTTAACTACTTGAGAGTTTCTGTTTAGAGAGAGCATGCATTGGTTCCATTCCGTACCAAAATCACAATTTCAGTTGCATACCAGAGGCCATGTGATGGTTGGATGTTTCGCTTGCAGAGTAGGACCTTGTTATCATGCTCAATGAGGCATCCCACCACCTATTCAAACCAGTTTACAAAAGAAAACAATAATTTCATTACCTTCAAAACAAACCAATTATTCATTGAAAGTGCAGTGCCAAACAAACTGGAGAGAAAACTAACATATACCACGTTAACAAAACATGTTTAAATTATGCTTTAACAAGAATTAAATGGGATACACACATCGCAAGGTTTTCAGATTCATGCCTACAATGTTTTTCCTTGTTTTCAGTGCTTGTTAAAGCAACCAGCAGAGTTAAACCCACACACAATTCCACTATTTTATGACTCCCCGAGTCAGGGTTCAACAATTTATTCTCCCTGGAAACCTTTTTGCATATAATCTCTAGTCCACCAAAAGTTCTCCAAAGATTGCATTGCCACTTTGTCTAACATCCACATCACATGAATCCTTTTGTAGTGTCACATGTTTTTGATTGATAATCACGATGCTGATATATGACTGAATATTTAAATTGTTGCTGAAAGAATAATTGAAGCTAGCTAGCCCATACATGTTACATTAAATGGAGATACCTAACCAGCTGTGGTGCAAACCAGGATGCTAAACTTAATTTTAGAAGAAATATCATGATATGCAAATGAGTAAATTTTCCTCAGCAATTTCAGCAGACACATTCAATCATACAAAACAACAGAAACATACATGACAATTTTGATTGCAATAATGAATGACCATACCATTTTAGGGTTTTGATAGGAAATTTTCTCACAAACTGTGCAAATGGCTCTCATCTTTTCCTCACCATCAGGTATATCATGTTTTGTCTGGCCACCACACCACTGACAGAAATTGATCTTGCGAGCACTTCCCTGAAAACAAATTTCATTAGCAAGGTACAGGATTATGTGAATGCAAGCGCCTTGAATAAGACTGGGAAAAAAAAACCCGCTGGCATCAACAATCACTGGTATCCTGATCAAATTAATCTAAGTCACAACATCTCTTTCTAAAATCTAGTTAAGAAACTTGAATAAGAATACAATACAAGTGATGTTCAAAGAAGGATACATTACCATATGAGCCAAGTTATTAGATTCTTCCTTTTTTTCCTTGTGATTTAAACAAATAAGCAACTCAACATTTAACACAAATAAAAACAAACAAAAACAGATGCAAGAGACGGACATTTAGCGCATAATCAAGAAAAAATGACAATCACGAATCCCAATAATCATCCAATTTATCAACGAATTCGATAAGAGTATCAGGATTTCAACAACAAGAAGGAAAAAAAACTCAGAGAAACTCACAGGTGACTGAACAGCAGCAGATGAAGAAGAGGTTCCATCTATCTTAGACTCAAACGGAGTTGAGTGAGCACGAACAGGTCCCAAAGACCGAGTCTTTCGAGTCAAAAACATGAAAGGATTTGTGGGTCTGGTTATTAGAGAAGAACAGGATAATGGTTTGGCGGAGATTGAGACAAAAGCATTAGTTTTAGCGGCATGTGGTGATTTCAGTCTATAATGATAAGCCACAGAACCAAGATTCTGTATTGCTTTTAGCATTGAAAATCTCGCCAATTTCTTATCTTTGTAACAAA